TGAAGGTCCAAGGTCGGGGGCCATATTTGGTGTGAGTCTTTTTGCTGGTGGTGTGTGTGTTGGGGGGGGGGGGTTTACAAGGCACAACAGAGAGGAGGTAGGAAACATATACTTGTATCCATGCATTTCTGACTTATTTCTCCTTCCTATAAAACCCACTAGCCTTCAACCATAGGTCCCGCCATAATAATGTTATCCTAATTAGGTACCAGTGGCCCCACCTTTCAATACCATAGTCAGATGGGGTTTTCACTCTCCTAATCCCGTGGTAACCAAATCTCATCACATGAATTTTGGGAGGACATCAAACCATAGAAGTAATGGTCAAACTGTATGTCTTTTGTTTCTGCAAAGTCTCTCAAATAACATTAGTGGTATGTCAACCAAAAGCCCACAAGAAACTCCAGGACACTGAAGGTCTCTGCTGCATTGAGCATTTAATCTCTGATACATCTGTTGCAGTTGTGGCTTTATGTATGTGTCTACATATTTAAATCACGCTTCAGTAGATTGTAAATTCCATGGGCAGGTGGGTTGGGTGGCACTCCTTGTTTGGACCATAATTTCTCCTCTGCCTCATACAGTCAGGACATATGGTATAAACATAGACACTGTAGGGGAGAAGAGGAAAGAAGGGAGGGTAGAAGGAGCACATGGAGCTGCTCTAAGGGATTAATTTGGGTTACTTCATTGAATCCTTACAACAGCCCTTTGAGGGAGGTGTTACTGCTTTGCAACATGAGAATGCTGAATATAGCCCTCAATGTATTTGGCAAACTGAGGTTTAAATTTTGATTCATTGAGCTCCGTAATGTGAGCTTCCTCCCATCTGGGTAATTAGAGTGATAACATGCTAGGGCGTAGATGTTTGAGTGAACAGGTTGGTGCTCGGTCTTGCTGAGAAAACTGAATAACAAAAATTCAGTTTCTTCTAGACTGTAGCAGCTGTTTGGTGATTGCTATTTCTTTGCCAGTGCAGTGGTTCTGAAGTCAGAAGGAATCTGGGTGGGAAGAGGTGTGTCTGAGAGTTTAGTGGTGACTTCTGGGCTCACCACAGATATGCAAATCTCAGTGGCTGTAGCTGCAAATAAATAATTTAAATTTGTTGTCATGAAAGAAAAATAATGTCTGGATTTACCATGTCTGGAATCCAGCTGCTCTGGGTTTTGTGTATTTTACTGAATAATGATCTGGCTTCTGCATGTGGCTAAAATCAGAAAACCTTGTCTTTATAGACTTGTCTACACAGGACAGACACATGTACATTTATGTACACACACACGAATCATCAAAAATTCAGTTTAAGGGACCAGCAGGTGGCGTGGTGGTTAGGGGCACTGAACTCCCACATGGTCGACTATGGTTTCGAGTCCCGGACCTGGTGGCTTGCTTTCTCACTTTCTCTATCTCTTGCTCTGTCCCCCTCTGGTCAAATTGAAACAAAATAAATGAGTAAATAAAGTTTAATAAAATATTTTTTTTAAAAAAATCAGTTTAATAACTGAGAGGACAGAGATGAGGGCAGAACCAGTAAAAAAGAGCCCTTCTGTTCAAGGTGGGCATGTTACCACAATGTCTCCTTGGAAAAGGGAAAGAACAGAAGGTAGGAAGTTCATTGGAGTGAGGAGACTCCAAGATTATGGTAGCCAGATTTGGGGAACACCTGTGCTTGGCCAAAGACAAGCTGCTCCTTTCGACCTGAAAAATTTCCTACAGCGATGCGTCTCCTGAACATGTTCCAGTGATACAGTACAACTCTCCATCCCATGCAAGCAGCAGTGCTTGTGGGTACCTAATTAGTTGTACCCTTGGGGATGCTGTGTCTCCTCCTCAGTAGAACTTCGGTTTGAGATAGCTTTACTAAGTATTAGAATTTACTTTTTGTTAAAGGTACAAAAATCATTCAACCATAAGAATATCAAAAACATACTTAGGTAATTTGCATTGCTTTTGACCACTGCTAACTGAACTGATAGCAGTCTGGAAGGCATCCAGCAATTCTGAACAAAATATTTTGTTGAATAAGCTATAATACACGATCATCGGTGAGCTCACAATGTTCCTATTAATCTTATTTCAAGTTACAACAATACAAGCTTCCACACTTCTATTTTTAACTAATGAAAATGAAAAAGAAATTACAAAGAAATCCTAATTATACCCTTTGGAATATGATACCATTGCAAATCCACTGGTAATTTTCTTTTTTCAAAACTCCACATAATCGCATAAGAAGCAAAAAGTGTAAGTTCTCTCAAAATAGTTGGTCTATAAATAAAATTCCCTAATGGGCCAAGCAACTTTTTTTTTTTTCTTTGTATGTCTTGTATTAGTACGGATTAATCCGTATTACAACTCCTGTGAGTGAAAAACCCCTTGTTAGACATAGAACATTATATTTTCTCAACATATCTTAAAAATTATAACTAATGTATTTCCACAATACCCAGGACAGTGATGAAAAAGCTTTGCACTTGGCAGGTGTCAGAAGACCTCAGCCAGCTTGGTTCTGGCCACTAAACTATCATACATCCCTTTTACTCTTGGTCCCCTCTCCTTCTCTCCAAATAAGGAAGCAGGGCAGACCTCACTATTCAAGCCTCTTGGAGGAAGCCTATCTTGGCCAGATGATCCTGTGCAGAGAGGGCTGTCCTATGCATTGTAGGAAGTTTAGCAGTATCTCTGTCTCTAGTCCTACATTCCAGTAGTACCTCCCCAGTTTTAAGAGCCACGGATGTCTCCAGACGCTGTCAAATGTGCCCCAGGGGCAGAATCCCCTCTAGTTAAAAACATTATGATAGTCTCAAAGAAAACCATAGTTGGACAATACTGAATCCTGTGAAAACAGATTTTATTCAGGACTATTGCAATGGAGTAAAAAAGACCTGGTACAGGACTAGGCTCAATTTTAAACATGTCATGGTCATGTGAAGATTTATAGCCAAGGAGTATGATGGGGATCAGGGAATAGTAAATGACCAAAAGGTAACATCTAGGGTGGTGGGATTCGGACTGAACCAACATAACTAGGTTCTTGCTGAAGGCTGGCCAACATGAGCATTCAACCCCTGGGGGATGATGGAGGATAAGGAATCTGAGCAAATATCCAGATGATCAGAAGTTCAGTGGGACGGGTTCTGATTAAAGTAATTTCACAGGATTCTTGCTCAAATTGGATAATGAAGATATGAACATGGAAGTTCAAAATCATTGTCCTACTGAAAAGTTAAGAGGAGCCTGAGCAGCGTAGAGTAGAAGAGAAGAGAATCCTTGTCACTAGGCTGATGTCAGAAAGTCCAGATTTATGTGACATGAGGGACTTTAACAATCCAGCTTCTATGGTGAGGTTGGTTTTGAAAGGAACAGCTAAGGCCCATGCTTTTAAATGCATGTATTCCATTAGTTCTACACGTCTAAGCACTTTGGTGCTTCTGGAGTGCAGGAGGCACTAAGTCACTGTGCTTCTGAGTGATCTTCTCTCCATGATTGCCCAGTCCAACTTGACCTAAGTGCAGCAAAAAATAAGAGTGTTCCACCGCAATGATGATGGAATTACCAATACCTGTTGTTTTGAGTAGTCACTGTGGTGGGCAAGGTTATGGATAGGTGTTGGAACATAAACACACTAGAGAGAGGTCTAGAGAGTGGTCAGTGTGGGCAGAGCAAGGCTGCCCTTGAGGTCAGTGTAGATCAAGTCTGCATATCATGGTGAATACAGGCTGTATCCTGAGAATGGGTGGATGTCAGATAGACTCTGCCTCCAGTCCAGGCCAGGCCAGAGGGGAAAAGAAACCAGATATCAGAGTCCTGACAGTGTCTGCATTTGGCCAGACATTCTTTTTCCCAGTAGCCAGTATTTAGGTTTTCTAGAAGGAGATTTCCAGATGCTTCTAGAATAAAATGTAGAATCATAAAGAAATCCATCAAATGACCAGTTAAATAAAATAATGTAAGGCACAGAGGTGGAGCTTCATAAAACCAGGACTCTCCTTTTTTTTCGAAAAAAACGCGTGCTCTCCCCCCCACCCCCCCCCCCCCGGAGAAAGAAGGAATTAGTGTTGGGCTGCTCAGCCTAAAAGAGTCAGCTTGTTTGATTCCTCCCTCTATGTCCAACCTGAACTCTGCCTATACCTACTCCTACTGCTCTCCACTGTGTACTTGGAAGGTGTCAGGAGGCCTGGGATATGGCAGGAGGCCACTCCTCTGCTGGAGGAGATAAATTTCACCAAGGTCCCCTCTGCTCTCTCGTCCTCTGTGCCCAGGGAGGGGCCCTAGCCTCCTTGTTTTTCATTGAAATCTCTCTTCTGGATTAGATATCAAGACAATGCTTTCTGTACCCTGAGTGTCCATAAATAGTTTTCCAAATTTCACAATGAAGGAAACCATGTGTACATCAAATGGTAGTTCAATGGAAAGGCTGCTCTTTCACACTTGCTTGAAGACAGTATCCATACAATGACAAGTGAGTGGGAGGTATAGCTCAGGAGTAGAGTAATTAACTTCAATGACATGTGAGTCTTGACTTCCTTCCCAGGAGACCAGGGGCAACACTGGACTTGAAGTGAGGGTCATGCCTACTCAGCACCATGGTTGTCAGCTCGGGTGTGATTATGCCCACATCTGCACCTAGACCTCGTATCTTCTCCCGGCTGATGCCCATTGGCCAGGTCTTTAGTCTCAGCCCCTTGCTCCAAACACAACAAAGCAGTTTGAATCCCAAGACCAAAAATCACTTTTGCTGGGGAGACTGCATCAGGTTTTAAAATTTTTCTGAAGATTCTATGATTTTTTTAAAGAGTTATCTTTAAAAAATTATTGTTATTATTTATTATTATTATTATAAAAGACAGAATTTCACTCTGTTGAAATCCTCCTGCCTCAACATCCCAAGTGGCTGAGATTACAGGTATGTACTGTAAAGAGGATTTTTAAAAGTTGCAGGGAAGACCAGTTGGATCTCCACTGGCATATTTAACTCTCTGTATCTTGTATCCCTAAAGGACTGAAAGCTGTGGGAGTCCCAGGCCAGAGGAGGCAGAAAGCGAGGACAAAGGCACAAGGACACCACCCCCCCAGATCCTACTGCCCCTGGAAGAGCCTGTGACCCATTTCCGCTAT